ATTACTCCTATTCTCCAAGTTTCGTCGGGGACTCGATTATCTCCTGTCGATTTCGCGCTTTTGTTTATTGCAGCAAAGGGTCGAAATCCTAACCTCTGATGGAGGTGTATGCTAAAAGATTTGGGAAGTATCGGTGCTTTGCTCTTCAGAGGAAACAGAAGCACGGTCAACGTTGAAGTTGCGAAGGAAAACCCCGGATAGGAAGTAACCCCCTTACCCATCCCACCCCATTCAGGCGCTAGCTCGACCAAGGCGCTCCTGCCGCACGAGACCCGGGGCATCACCAGGGCGCGAGGGCAGTGGGCGGACCCTGTCGCTTTGGCCGAGGTAATCGTTGCCGCAGCTCGAACACCCGCCACCCGTTGCTGTATCTAACACTTCACGCGGCGCTAAACGAAACGCTGGCCGCAGCCTCAGAGCTCTGGCCCGTCGTATTGCTGTTCGTAGCCCGCCACAGGCAGTAGCTCCAAGGGCTTACCACCATTCCGTTGTGACCCTGACGGACCTAAGGAAAGCCCACAAGTCTTTGACAACACCTAAAACAACGACAGATTTACCTACGGTTTCACTATATATGAAATTCTTCGAATGCACATCAAGGTTTCACTTCGTGTTCCCCTGTGCCTCTTACTCGCTTGCACCGCGACCCGCCGACTAGATTTTAACTCCTGAACCCCCCCCCCTGCACAACACTGAAACTAGATACACGGCGGCAGGCTCACCGACAAGCTGATCATGCCCTGGTTCCACCCCAGCTACCTCCTTCGCAACTCGGGGGAGCGCAGTCGGCAGGAAGGAGGCGTGCGATGGCACGCGAGAAACGACCTGAGAGAAGTCCGCGACGTGGTTCGCAGCATTCAGGGGGAATGATCCCTAATAGTCTACATACATAGGTAGGCCTGGCTAACGTCGGTACGTAGCTGCCATATGCTCCGTTTCTGTTTTTTGGGATTTGTGGTGCTTTGATGATGGTGCCTGGGTGGCGTGCCGGGGACAGCCGTGCGTGAGGTCGGCGACGATGTTGGTTGCGCCCAGGACGTGGGGGTAGACTCGATGCCCGGCCGATAGGCAACTAACTTGCGTGCTCAGCTACTACGTGTTCTAGAAGTACGCTCTGGTTGCGCGGGTTGTACACTGTTTGTCCGTTTGTTTTCGTTGTAATGGTAGACTTTGTCCGACGTGGACGGCTTGCATGTTGGCACTCTCAGACCAATCGAATAACTTACCAGCATTAATTACGGCTTTGGCTTCAGTATCCTTTCCGACGAAGGCCGCATTGTCGTAGTGCTTCCCCGTAAACATTATTATCTCTTTGTTTATTTTATGAATAGCGTAGCCTAGGTCCTCCGGTGTTGTGGTGACGGAGGACCGCCGTACAACGACGACGCGAAACGTTTTCGTGGCCGGCTTGAACATGTTTTGTACTTCCAGATTTATGCCTTGGGCGATATCCTAGGAACTTCGGAAATGCTCGAAGCACGCTGCTGTTACTCACAACAATACGAGCAAACGCGAAAGGGTGGTTTTCACGGAGGAAAGTCAAGGACACCGCAGCAGCGGGGTCGCCCGATTCACCCTGTTGGCTTCATACGGCCGTGTGCCGAAGAAGTGAACGCATGCATCGTCAGCGTATATTGGTGCGGTTTGATGGTAACATGGCAAACCAGTTTGCATCTGGCGGGCGTTTTTTTTCCGAGTACGTGCCGCTGCTGTATATTGCCCTTTTTTTCCAGTGCACTCCTGCTCGATGCATGTGTCGTCTAAATCCTGTTTTGGAGGTTTACGCACAGCGCATTGTTTGGTGCGTGTTGGCATTTAACTCGTCGATTCACTTGGCTGTAGACTGGAACGTGTGCCCACGTATGCGTACGAGAACGTAAATGTGTGGTATTCATCGGGTTAATACGTTATGTCCACTGTTTAGCTTCAGGGAATACAAACTGCTTGAGTTTTTACGATCGACTTACCTGAAGAAATGGAATGCATGCCAATTTCGAGGCACCTTCCTTGGGTGGAGGTCGCGTTTAATTGACGAAGGTCGATGACTTGAACGCTTCGGGCAAGGAGCCCAATAAGTGAATCTAACGGTACCGTGGCTTCGTTGACTCCTAACTTGGGGAAGGCTCCGTCCCTTGGCCTCTGCCTGCTTCGCTCAGTTCTTTGAAATTTTTCGAGGTCAACTTGTTTTCTGTTTTTCCAGAAATCATCTTTGAAGAGCAGAGTATAATAGACTAATGTTCTAACGAGAAATGATTTTTCTGTCAGGAATCTGCACGTCTTGGTTTCACCCAATGTTAGGGATGACTCCATTCAGTAGCTGCCTGTTCCAGCCTCCAGCACAGCTTGGAGAAGGACTGGGACCGCGCTAGGCCCTGGGTTTCGTTGTAGAAATAAATCCCCTGATTGTTTCTTACAATACATGAACACTAGACCCAAGGATTGTCACGAGAGTATATATATATGCCTATTTAGTCTCTCGATGCCACAGTTGAACGTTCATGCATACAATACTTGGGAATGATGCCCTTGACATGTTCCCAAGAGAGGGTGTAGCTCTAGAGACTACCGAGTACGGGCTTTTTGATCATTTAGCCGATGCAGTCAAGACGAGGATGGAGTCATTGGACAGTTTCTCGGAAGGACGGTAGATGATGACGCTGGATTGCACTTGCGCTATCGCAGCGGGCCCGCATTCACAACATATTTGCCGCACCGACTCGTATTGACGAGAGTCGCTATGCAGGCCGCCCCAAACAATCTATAACCAAGAGGCAGCGAAGTCGGCCATCGTTGAAATACGGATGCACACGTGCGTGGAAGTGCCGTGACCTCGAATGAGATCTGCAAGGAGGCCTGGGCCTGTCTCCGTGTGTGTCGAGCGGTGAGAACCTGCCTGCTGCCCGAAACGCTCCGGAAGGTGCCCGGCATAAAAATACCACCTCGGGGGCGGAAGCGGCCAAAAAAAGACACTACAGGTGATGAACCGTGACGATTTCAACCGTTACATGTGGTTGCAGCGCTTGTTCTTCGCAACACTACAACAAACACCTGTTGCTGATAGCGTCGACCACGCTAACCGGCAGACCAACGAAAACACGTCGGTCTCAGTGCGGCGGCAAGCACAAAATGATTGTGGCGGGTGGATACCACTCAAATTGGAGATCGAGTGGTCTCTCTCGGAGAACCAAATACTGCACGCAGAATCATATAGAAGCACGTCAAATAAATATGCACACCGTGATGGGACACATTCCGATTATGTGGGCTCACATCACAGGCTGTTCTCCGTAGATTTAACAAGTTGCTGCTCCACCAACCGTCGCTAAAACCTGGTTGCACATCAGAAAACTCAGGAAACAACATCCCCGCCTCCCCGTCAAATAGTGAAATGATGGTACCAAACAAGGAGATCCCATGCGCCGATGCCGCCAAAAGTATCACAGTTATCGAGGTATATCTAGGTACTCTCCACAAAGACTTCACGACAACAACCATACGACACAGACAAGCCAAACGTGCAAATTCCTGAAAGCGGGCAAACCTCTCAGACTTTCTCTCGCGCGCTCTCAGGTGTTCATTTCGATCAACCACACACATGAATCATTCGCTCATCACAACCGCCTCACAATAGAGACCCACACTAACATGCCGAGAGGGTTGCGCCAACAAAAGCGTACATTCAGTCCACAAGAACAAAACGCGCGCACGATCGCAGTCACAAGAGAGCTCTGCCGCTACGATCCAGGCGGAATAGTAACCCTTTTTTTTGCTCCGGTGTACACGCACGCACATTTTGCACTCAGTCTACGCTTATGCATACCGCTCAGCACAAGCCTGCTGCTGTTACATTGTAACATGAAACTCGTGTCTATCGATCGAATATTCCCGCTAACCTACTAATAAAGACATGTTGCCAAAACGAAAACGCAAAGGAGCGGCACACGACAATGCTGAAGAAATTAATATGAACACCAGGGTCGGAGGAGCCGGCCTAGCATGCGACAATCTTCAACAAGCACGTGAATCTCACATGGCTCGCCTTGTCCTCTGGCAGCCTACATTACCCCCGTCGCCCTCCAAACCAACTGGCATCTATCTTCTAAGGTCCAATTACTATTCCCCTTTATATCGCAACAAAGCACAAGGCGACACACAATCGCGCCTGCTCGAAAAACGCGTCCACGTCCTCATTGTTCGTCGCGATTTAGGAACAACAAGCAGCCGCAAAAACGAATACAAGGAATCCACAAAAGCAAACCACAGCCTTACTACCAACGCCTCTGACCTAGAGCGACCCCCACACGGCCACTGCAGCAGTCGGCGGGATCACTACTTCTGTTTCCACACTACGCAGCAGGAAACAGACAACCCAAACGTTGCGGAAACTCGACGCGCACTTGCACTCATGTCCAGGGAATACGTAACCGTACATACAATGATGGCACCTGACTACACCGAAAACAACCCCATCGAAGTCGGAAAAATAACAACCTTGGACAGTACCTACGTCGGCCGCATTCAGACTATCTACTCGCCGGGAAAGCGAACGTTACTTTTGGGGGGTGGAACGTAGTCCAGCCGTCGTCTTGAGGGGGTCACCAGGAGGAACATGCCGGTGTACGGCCAAAACTGTGATGCGCGAAAAACAGCCGGAGGCAATGACACCCCCAAAACTACACTTCATGATCTCGTAACGTCAGAAGCGGCCTCTGAGAAAGCGACGCAGAGTGGCACTGCGATGCCTGTTGCCAATCACTTACCCTAACGCACCGCATTACACTCACCAAAGAAAAAAGTCCCTCTCCCCCCTCCCCGTCAGTTGGTACACTCGCAAAAAACAGCGTATTTTCATCACCGTGATCTGAGTGGATGGACAAATGTGCGCCAGGAGGTCAAGCAATGCTGGGCCTCTGGATGCTGTCTCAGTCTTGCTGCTGCTGCTGCTGCTGCTGGAAAAGTGTACGAAAATGCCCCCTCTCCCCCCCCCGCCCCCCCCAACAAACGTCCTTCCTTCTCGTCTGGAGACAGAATAGACTGGACTCAAGTCTTTTTCTGCGTGCAGTCCGAACATTGCACCACAAATAATCCACAATCCTCGCTGTACTGTCGTCTTCCCGACTCCAAGCTAAAATCGGTTTTGATGATGATCGCATGTCATACTGCACGTGGGCGTGCGGGACGTCCAAGCCCCTCTCCCGACGAATATTTAAAAAGTACGTATCCCACAACCACGCGGTGCGGCACAGCTACCGACCCCCCCACCCCTCCCATTCCCCCCAATCTGCAGCGGCTCTCGCAAGACTTAAGCCCGCCCGCCAGACGGGGAGGACGACTCATCTCCAGCACCGATATCATGAACCAAAACCCTTTTCTCTTCAAAAATTGAATGATATCTGCAAATAAACGCATACCGTCATAGAAACTAGGACGCCTGTCGCTGTACCCAGAGCTAGACTCGTGCCAAAAACAAGCGTGCCGAACGCGTGCCTTCAGCATCCGGCCATCGCGGTTTCGTGAGCTTCGTTTATCTTCCAACTCATGTGGTGCGTGATAGAAACGTGCGCCCCCAACGGAAAGAGAAGAAACACCGCACCAAAACCTCGGCAAACAAAACGAACAAAAAAACACGCGTTTTACACCCACGCGTTGTGTGTGTGTACCGTTTTTTGCGACGTTCGCACGACATACAGAAGAGCAGAGAGGCCGCTCCTTCCTCTTCCTTCACCAACAACGCAGTGCGCAATTGTACAGAAAACGACAACACCGTTGTCCGCGGAAACCCCGGAGATGTCCACCAAAACAATACGCTTAGCTCCACGTGCCACGGACGCGAGGGAGTCATCGGCAAGCACCCGCCAAGCCCCCGCCAAGATTGCACGCCACCCCCTTACCATGCATGTAACTTCCAATGACAAAATATTCCGACCTCCTGCAGGGAGTGCGTGGTGTGTCGGCAAAAATGTTCAAGGCATGCTGAATGCGGCCGCCCCCCCCCCCCCCCCCCCCCCCCCCCCCCCCCCCCCCCCCCCCCCCCCCCCCCCCCCCCCCCCCCCCCCCCCCCCCCCCCCCCNTGTGTCGGCAAAAATGTTCAAGGCATGCTTAATGCGGCCGCCCCCCCCCCCTGCCCGTCCCCCTCCCTCCTGTCAAAAGAAGCACAGAACACACGTGTACCACTATGAAGTCCTCACTAAAAAAAAAAATACGCCACGTCAACACGTACCATACAGTGCTCAAGAAAATCTCCCCTAGACCCCCCGCCCACAGAGAGCCTGGAGTGCGATATTTTTGTCTCGATCTCGTGCCTTGGGCAAAACGGTGCAACAGCTCAGTACCTTACAACACGATCATTTCCCTTCCTGGACTGGGATCCCCAAGCTCCTTTCGCCTGTCAAACAACACAACCTTGACAAGTTCAGGTCTCGACCAAAGGCGACGTCGCTACATACTCCGCAGGCTTGTCTATCTCGAAGCGCTGCTGTACTCCTGCAATGGTATTCGTCTCCCGTCTAACTCTACTGTTGGCAAGCTCCAAGCTCGACAGCAAATCAGAAACCACCACCCCCCGACCCCTGCGCATAGTGTTTGAAGTCTACCGAGACATCCAATCCAGTCAGTACATCGTTATAGCTCTCGCGAAGCATTAGGCGCCAGTACCCCCACATCACACCCTTCCCTTCTCTAGTGGCATGCAGCATTTTACCTCTCACGTTTTCATAGCACCATTAAATTTTCCATAAGGTCTAAAACAACAACAAAAAAAGTTGAGCGAGGACGATCAGGCAAGGCGCCTGGGCGTATAGAATAACGCCACACGCCTCGGACGGCGAACACGGTCATTGGCCTCAACGTCCATCAACGCGTTCGGCGTTTCGCTCGGACGCTCCTCTCCCCGGCTCCCGCTAACCTTCACCCCGTCCAGCCTCTCCTCCAATCCCGACGCCACAACAAGTTGCAACACCGGCACCTGAACAAGCGCACCTCCCTCTGCAACTATCATTCTCATGAGTCCGACCAGGGGGCGGGCTAGTCATAGAACAGGGAGTCGTCCCTCGGCGGCGGCATGCCGCCAAGGAAGCCGTCCAACCCGGAGGACCCGAACCGAGAGACGCCCTGCTGCGGCTTCGGCGGTGGCGGTGGCTGCTGCTGTGACTGGAGGGTCTTGAACAGGAGCCCGCGGGGGGGAGACGGGGCGGCTTCCGAGAGGCCCCCGCCAAAGCCACCGAGCCGCTGAGGATCGATGCCTAGCCCCGACAGGGCGCCACTGCCCTGGAGCTGCTGGTCGTGGCGGGGGTGGCTGTTATTGCCGCTGTTGTTGCTGCCTTGGTCCCCCCAGGGGTCTAGGCGTTGATCGAGCCGCGGATCGTTCCGCACAACGGCGCCGCCCATCTGTTGCTGGTTCTGGAGCTTCTTGGCGTGGGGAAGCGCGCGCTCCGCCTGGAGGTCGTCCCACATGGCGTTCAGATCTCCTCCCCCTCCTCCGACCACCACACTGCGACCACGCGGCTGCTGCTGCCGGTCCCGCTGCCGGTCCCGCTGCCGCTGCTGAGCCAGGGCGCCCCCAAGCCCTGAAATCTGCTGCTGTAGTTGCCGGTCGTGATCCGAGTTAAGCCGCGATTCCCTCGGCTCATAGTCCTGCCCGTTCCCACCAGCGCCCACCGCCCCGAGGGGGCCGAGGTTCCCACCCCCTGGTTCCATTCCGACTCTCCTCTGCGTACCCCCCCCGCCTGCGCCGTCGCCACGGAACATGTCTACGGTTGTCGCGGTGAGACTGTCAGGCGGCTGGTGGAGGTAGAGCGCCGAGAGGGCATCCTCGTGCTGGTGCTGCTGCTGCTGGAGGTGTCGCCGGCCGCCTTGCTCCCGCTGGCCGGGGGGAGGCGAAAGGTGCTGCCTTTGCTGCCTCTGCTGCTGCTGCTGCATGGAGGGCGGCCTGGAGGGAATCCTGGGAGGCGGAACCAACGAGGCCAAGCCGGATCTGCCGTGCGGCGGGAGCTGCGAGGGCTGGAGTTGCTGCTGCTGCTGCTGCTGCTGCTGCTGCTGCTGCTGCTGTTGAGTGAGGGTCATACCGCGGCCGCCACCGCCGCCGCCACCGCCACCCCTCCCCATCCCCTGACGGAGCATGCCCTGCTGCTGCTGCTGCTGCAGCTGCAGCTGCCGCTCCCGGTGGGAGAGCATGGGCGGGTTGCCGTTGCTGCTCTCGTGCCGTCCGTTGGGGATGATGCCGTGCATCGCCTCGTGCTGCTGTTGCTGCTGGCGATACATGGAGTTGTTCTGATAGACAAGCGCGCGCGGGGGGGTAGAATGGTGGGGGCGGGGCTCGCTCCGTACTACTCTCGGTTACCAATACAAGGTATCCATCGACATGACAGGCCAGTCGTGTCACTGCAACCACACGAGGGTGGGTCAAAATGGCTTTACAAGGAGTTTCAACCTTCGAGGTAAAAAATGTCGATTCGTCGGCTCCAAGGAAGAGGCCAAACCACTGCGTGTGGTGGCCAACTGCAAACAACAACCTTAACCTTCCTTCGCCACTGGTGTAAGAGCTACGATTTTCTCGAACACGCCCACGTGGCTCAGGCACTCGCGTCAGAGAATGGCGCCGAAAACATAATTCCGCCGCACGGAAGGCCAGGCCTATCACGCACATCATCGTGCGACGGCCATGGACACATCTTTGGGCGGGCTTCGTTTTGTATCTGTAACACAAATCGCCCACACTCACCAGCGCTCGCTGGTGCTGCTGCTCCTCCCTAATCTGCTGCTGTTGCTGTTGTTGGATATGCTGCTGCTGCTGCTGCTGCTGAACGCCCTGCTTGTTCGCCGCAGAACGGCGCCTGCCGGACTTGCTCTTGTGCTTTTTCACACCCCCGCCACCGCCGCCGCCACCGGCCCCCGACCCCCCGCCGGAACCGACCTGGACCACGGTGCCCCCATGCATGACGATGTCAAGCTCCTCGGCGGTGAGCGCGGACTTGAGGTACACGTGCGGGTTGAAAGGGTGGTCCCCAGCTATCACGAACTCCCCAGGGTACTGCGGATAATGTCGCGCGCGCGGGCCGCGTGGAGGTGGGTTGGGTGGCCGGGAGGACATCCTGACCAATGCGAAAGCCGTGGAGCGGGATCATCCCCGCCGCGCTGCTTTACAACAGAACAGCAAAACGATGCTCTCCATGGCGATCACGCTCTACACCCCAGAATATTACAACGCTCAAAAATACCTTTGCGTCAATGCATACAACGTGCGAAAACATAAATCACTAGTTACTCTAGAACTACACCGCGCGACAAGCATTCCAGCCCCAGTTGGTGGTGATCCTGACGGCTGTCGCTCGTTCGTTGAGCCTGCGGTATTGTACTGTACATTCCTTCTGGAGGAACTTCTTGAGCCCACATTACTGTACTGTACTGTACTGTACATACCTTCTCGAGGAACTTCTTGAGGCCCCCAAACTGGTCCTTGAGGGTCTGGCTGAGGGAGGCGTTTGCCGTGGCTTCCTGCAGGAGCTTGCCGATCTCGCCCACCGGCAACGAGCCCTGGGGAAAAGAAATGTCACGTTTCGGCACAAAATACAAACCGACGCAAAAAAATCAAGTGAACAAACGAATGGAAAAATAAGCTCCCCAACAAAAAAGGGCGTCAAAGGGAGATACAGCTCCGTGTACGCTTCGTTCAACGAGCGGATACCTTCCCACGACAAAATACAAAAAAAAAAAAAAACGCACGGGAAAATCCACGGGGGAAACGTCGCTGAGTGCTCGGGAAATCGTGAAAATACTAGGTACACGTAGCTTCCGCTCGATATGGATTCATTCCTATTCGATCGAGCGGAAGCTACTTGTACCTAGTATAAACTCTTTTCTAGGGATAGAGATGGAACCGCTGTGTCATATAAAAAAAAAAAAAATCGGGCGCTGGCTGGTGTCGGGAGTTTGACCACAAGAAACCCATTGCTCGACAACAATGCACAACGCGCCCCCTCCTCGAGCGATCGCCTGTACCGAGTGCCAGTCATCTCTTTGTGAGTCTGTCTCTGCCTGCCTGCCTTCCTATCTGTGTCTCGCTCTCTCTTCTCACCTTGTCCGAGAGTATCTCCTTGGACAGTGCCAGTAGCGCGCTGTCGGTCACCTCCGCGTCGAGGAGGAAGCAGCAGTACTTCACAGAGTCGCGCACGCTCTGGAGGTCCACCTGTAAATGAAGGTGGCAACGAACAGATCGTATCGGTGAGTGCGCTCGAGCTTCTTTCGAATGGCGGGGGCCTGGAGAATGATCCCAACCGCGTGAATACGCTGTTAGTTGTATGCACATCAATCTCGTCTCGTGCTATCTAGCGAGTGATATTCCGCAACAGAGTTACAACATGGGATAATCCCCACCACTGCTATCATAGTAATGCTGAACGGACCCGAGTCTTGGTCATTTATTTTTTTCTTTTCCACTTCAAGAAGAATGCACACAGAGGTTGGACCTCCCTCCACCCACGTTGCATCCCCGCAACCTGCGCCCGATAACTCGTAAAAGCAGCGATAAACGGAAAACTTGCCACCCCCCGTCACCCGCGAAGAACGCTTCTCTCTCAGCAAACGAGACCCTGATGGAAGCTGCAAAACGACACCCCGAAACACTCCGCACCGGGACACGGCCACACTGGCGAGAGTCCCAACCATGCCACGCCTGAGGGCATCGTCACTTCATGATATCAAGCAGCAAGGTGCCCACATGCTCAACCGGGGGGGGGGGGGG